CCCCGGCCCGCCGCCTGGACCCCCAGGGGGCACGCCCCCTGCACGCCCCCACAGCATGCACGCTAGTAGCTCGGGTAAGCCTTTTTTTGCAAGCTTTGGGTTATCTAAGCTTCTAAGTTAATGAAATGTTTTCAGAGAAGGTAAACAAGCGATGGGTGACGTTGCTACCACTTTTATCGTCCTGTTTAAGTTTGCCTACAGCTTTCTAATCATCCATTTCTAGAGCTTTGACTCCTTGTCAGTTTCTAGCTGTGAGTTTGGTGAGAAATTTCTTAGATCTATTGACAAGCAGTTGCTTTTGTTTGAGTATTCATCTGTTTCACATACAAGACAATGAACAGATTTACCTTTGCTTTATTTCTTCTACTCTTGACAACGACTCCTCAGGATGAAACTAATAAGTTTTGTGTGAAAGTATAAACTTTTCGTCAATTGTAATTAGTAAGACTAATGAACATGCCTTATGTTTCAGTGCCCGACAACTGTGATCCCCAGCCTTCCCATCAAGGGCCTCCTGGAGGAGATGGAACGCCACCTCCTAATGAGCGCCACTTCCAACAACAACTGCAACAACAACTGCAGCAACAACTTCAGCAACAGTTTCAACATCTCCAGCAACAGCAGCAACAGCAGCAGCAGCAACAACAACAACAGCACCAACAACAACAGCTGCAACAAATTCAACAGCAGCAACATCATCATCATCAGCAATCACAACAACAGATGCAACAACAGAGCAATAGTAGTGGAGTACTAACTCTATCAGATTTGCCTGAACCACCTATCCCTGTGTCAGAAATTGGTCCTATTCCACCACCACCTATGTTTAGTTCTCCGAGTCCAACATTGCTAAGGCTGCATGGTGGACCAGCAAGAGTGGATAGCAACAGTAGTGCAAGCAACAGCAATGGCACTAGTGTTCATAATGCAGTTCCACTTGACCTGTCCAACTTTGGCTACCAAGGTAAATTTTCTTGTCTTCCTCATAAATGCAGCTATCCAATCAAAAGTTGGTGGGTTTGCTAATTTTGAAAGGGTTAACAATAAGTCGAAGTCCACCCTTCCTGTGAAATTATCCTTGCCTCTCTTTCAATTCACTAGTAACTCCCTTAACATCCATAAAACTATTCCCGCAAAAAGTCCTTAGATCCTAGAGACAATCGTAACATATTCAGATGTCACAAAGAACCTCCATCTATCTCGCTTGCCATGAGGCAATTGTCTTTGGCTAATTGCCCAGCTCTTCTCGAAGTCGGATCAACACTCCACTTGGCACAACACCTCAGTGATAGAGCTGAGAGTGGACTTAACAGCTTCTCTATGTCTGTGTCTACTTCTTTTGTTATTAAAAAGTGTGGCAATTGGGTATATTTTACTTCCTGTAAGCTTAGTAGAAAATTGTACATGGGAGTTTTGTGTCTTTACAATGGATTCAGCTGATAGATGGAGGTTGATTGATAACTCTTCTGTCAAGAGGTAGATATCTATGTATTAAATCCTCTGTCTTCTTTTACTTCAGATCAGGAAGAAGATGATACTTATGAAGATTATGATGAAGAAGAAGACCAGTTTCATAATTTTAGAGTATCCCAACCAGATCCAAATATTGACACAAATCGAGTGGAAGAGATTCCTGCCAAAGAGCCAAAATTCCACGCTGTACCTCTAAAATCTGCTTTGAAAAAGAAGGGCAATGGTGCTGGTGGCAGTAGTGGACCTGGGACACCAACTCAGGAGTCAAGGCCTCTTGGTGTTCGTCAAGAACACAACTCGTCTTTCAAGTAAGTGTAATTGGGTGTAGCCTACTCTAGGGTTATTCAAAGTTTCCATTACTTTATCCTATATCTATCTAAAGTTTTCTGTCAGTCTGATGATTATTCTATAGCATGATATCTACGCAGAGCACTAACCTTCATTTTTCTCACTTTCTTTTTACTAACCAGGCGGCCTCCTTTGAGGTCCCGTGTGAGGATTTGGTAATTATCAAAGAGAAATTCAAGGGTTTATGCACTCTTTAGCTTTTTAGGTTGCACTCTCTAAGAAATAGATAGCATGCTTTTAATGCTCAAATGTCAGAGTTGTTGTGCTGTTCTCGTACCTACAGCTAACTTTACTTTTATTTTAAAATCTGTATGTTTTTATTCTAAGAAATGAAGAGTTTGTTTTTGTTTTATTTAAAATTTGTGATAGTTTACACATCTCTAAACAATGCTTTGTGTTTCATTCATTATGCATTTTGTTGCATTTTGTAATATTGTGCATTGTGTGATTCTGACTGATACCTTCAGTCTTGGGTGAAGTTGGGTAAAAATCTCACCAAGTACAAACTTCAGACCAATGCATTTGTATTGTTTGAAATTCTCCTGCACGTTGCGTGGGTTATACAAACACATGAAGAAGGATAATTTTATAACTATATTGGGTGTGCTCTTCTTCTTCTTAACGATTTTTACCCACATTCACCCTAGAGTTGTTGAGATTCCCTTTATCTCCTTATTAAGTTTCTCAAAACTGATGTCTTGTTTTGTCATTCCAGCACTCGGCCAGTAAGATTTGGCATTGCTCTGCCATGTACAATGGAGAACAAGGAGAATGCACGCCCATACAACTCTTCCCATGATGATGATAGTGACTCTGGTGATGGTCCTATTCTCTACAGGGATGATGATGAAGATGAGGAGAGTAAGTTGTCTGGAAGGCTTCCAGTGCTTCCTTATTTAATATACCTTATTAGAATGTTCTTTTTAGAATTTGTATAAGAAACATGCATGTTACAGGAATAATCCTAATCATTTGTGTTTTAACTGTTTTGTCTAGGTCGCCTTGCAGCTAAAATTGCTCGCAAAGATAGTTTAGCTATAAAACTGGCTCTTCGTCCAGATCGACAAGAGCTCATAGATAGGAACATATTGCAAGTTCAAAGTGATAAAGAAAGGCAGGAAAGCAAAGAAGCTGTTGGAGCTCGCTTAATCAGGTATACATACGCATTTTTTGAAGATGTCCTCTTGTTTGACATACAAGTATCCTAATCTAATATGCTTGTTTCTTTGCTAAAGGCGGTTAAGTATGAGGCCAACTCAAGAAGAACTTGAAGAAAGAAATATTTTAAAGAGTAAGTGTTATGCCTAAAAGCATTTTTCTGAAATTTTAGCTTTGTTTGCGTATTTGTACTAAGGCTAACTTAATTTATATTTACAGAAAATTCAACAGCTGAAGAAAGGAAATTAAAAGAAGAAAAGAAAAAGATGCTACTTAGAAAACTAAGTTTTCGGCCAACTGTAGAGGAGCTAAAAGAGAAAAAGGTATGTCAAAATATCTGAAAGAAGTGGTTTTGCATATGTGAGAAAATCAGAGGGGCTGCTTAATGACCATGTTGACTTCTTTCAGATCATACGTTTTAATGACTACATAGAAGTTACTCAAGCACATGATTATGATCGAAGAGCTGACAAGCCTTGGACTAGACTTACGCCTAAAGACAAAGCAGCTATTAGGAAAGAGCTAAATGAATTTAAAAGCTCTGAAATGGATGTTCACGATGATAGTCGTCATCTCACAAGGTAAATTTTACATTTGTTGAAATCATGCTGACTGTACAATTTTACTTAACTGTGTCGTAATCTGCATATCTTTGTATTCAGATTCCATAGACCCTGACTGCCTAAATTGCCATTTGGGTGGACGTGTGGTTGGATATGTTTGTTGGTATACTTAGCACCAACTCATTGTTGACCAATCGGCTTCCCGACTGACCAATGCGTTTGCAAGTAAATTTTTGATCAAGATGAGCACCTATGTCTCAGAAATGTGCGACTTTGTGATAACATGCACGTAAGTTTGTTGGACTCTGTGAGCGCAAGCAACGTGTGTGTGCCTGATAGTGCGTAGTGATACAGCCAAAAGTGCAAAAGAGAACAAGATTAAGTTTTTATTTCTTGTACAGATACATAATTTTCTTCCTTGAACCAAGAAGCTCAGATTTATTGAGAATGTCTGTTAAAATGTCATTGAAATGTGTTTATTATCATTTATTTGTTGTTTTGAATTCATCTGTACATAGGAAAACATACAGTATTGCCATTTTTGTTTTCAGAGTGAATTTGTTTTTGTAAGTGATTAATGAATTTTTGGGCACATCCCATTGTGTGATTTTTCAAGAGATTTGAAAAAGTTAAAAAGGATTAACTTACCTGATCTAGGTAAATTTGTACATAATATTAAAGCTTGTGGTGGCTGAGTTTACCATTTGACAAAAGTGATTACTATTCAGTGTGCTTGGCCAACTGTCCAAATTTGTATGGTTTGGTCTTCATTTTATTTTATTTTATTCCTTTTATCATGCTGTTGATTAATTTTACTAGTCCAGCAACTCACCAAAGTCTCAGTAACAAACTCTTTGGGCCATCATATAAGAAAAATGTTGTCATAGTATTTTTAAAATATCGGTATTTGGTCGATGACACAGAAGATACTACATCAGTTTAGTTGTCTTGACATCATTTGTTTCAAATCACTTTAGCTTACAGCTATTCACTTTATTGACTCATCCAGCTTAGGGATCCTACTCAGAGGTTGCTGAATTTTTGGTGCAATGAATATTTGCTTTGGCTGTGTTCCAAATCTATTATTTAGTTGTGTTACCAAGTAGGAGTATGTTTTGATATGTTTTAGTCTCTAAATTACCTACATGTAAAGGGAAATACTCAATCATTCAGATTTATGAACTTGATCATGTGCCTCAGTTGTGTATGGTGAGGCACCCACATTATGTTGCCAGCACAATTGTTTCTTGTTCTGTATGAAATCAGTTTTGTGCCATATAGCTCTTACCTCAGTTGTCTTATAATGTTTGATTGATTATGGTACATTAAATGCATATTTTATATGCTATAAAGATTGTTGTTTTGTAACCCTTTTATTTTATTTTTTTAAAGATGGTGATTGCCACTCTCTTAACAGTGAATCATACAACCTTTTTACCACTGCATGACTGATTCCAGTGGTTTTCATATTTCTGTACTTTTGCTTTCTGTATCATAATTTATGACAAAGATTGTTTTGTTTCACAATCCAGATTGTTTTATTTTACTGAGAATCACTGGTCTATTTGGATTGTCTTAGCACAGAAAAATTCTAAGTGCTTTCTATTTCTTGAGATAATATTTCTACTGAAGAGATCTGTGCTACTAAGCTATCCTATTGCTCAGATGATATTTTCATCCAAAAATCAGTAATTTTGAATGCATGTTATTGGTTTGATATTTTTAGACACTGAAGTTTTCTCTCTGCTTCAAGCTAGAAGATGCATCATACCGATGTGTCTGTTTCAGTGAACGAGACTACTATGCTAAACGCACTAATGCATCATAGTGAAAAATCTAGATGAGAAATCCCTTGCTTGATTGTTTGTAAGGAAAATTTAGGAAAATAATTAGGGCGTTGCCATGTACGATGTTGTTCTGCTTCTTTTGTTGTTGTTATTGTTTTACAATTTTACACAGAAATTTGCTGAGCTCATCATATCAGTGTAACTTTTGTACCTTATGTACAGACCCTTTCTCGCAGTTCAATGTATTTTGAGAAGGGAGGTCATTATAAAATCTAGAAATGTAAAGTAAACAAAAATTAGAGTTGATTATTGCAGTCTCCTTTGTAAGAACCATAACCTCTTTATTATTTGTTGTTTTAAGTTTTAGCACATTCTGCTCTGAGACTGCAATTCTCTAACAGACTGCTCAGAGCACATGCTTTTAGTCAACAAAGTGCCTATGCAAGTATATCTACTTTTAAAAAATAAGCATAATAATTGATGTGGTAGGATATGTCACATTTTATTTTTAATTTTTCTGTTGAACATAATTACCTGATGCCAAAAACAAAGATTATTTTATGAAGAAAATAAAAACAGAATGCAATGCAAATATTTAATCAGTTGAACTAATACAACAAATGCAAACATTTTCATGAGCTCTAGCTTACAAGTAGGTGGGTTTGCAAGGAAGAGTGGTGATTGTGTTTGGCCTTTTATTTAGGTAATGAACTTTTGTCAGATTGAATCCATGGCAACATCAAGAAAAAAATTGTAGGTAACATGTGAATAAATAGTGAAGAATTTCAGATTCTTGAAACAAAAGTTTTAAGTGTTTCAGTAGTATCGAAGAGGAGAGTCCAAGAGCTCTGTACAAAAAGAAAATTTATGTATTTATTTGTATATTTGAAACTTGTGTAATTTAAAATACATTTTTACTTGTTTTAATGTTAAGGTCAGGATGTCTTCCAAATAGACATTGATGCAATTACCTGTGCCTTTTACTTTCCACCACTGCCCAACATATTTCCCTGCTTTTCACACATTCAAAAACCCTCGCAGGCCAAATCTGCCATCAGGGGCGTACGGGGCGTACCTCATCGAATCATCATCACAGAAATTTGATAAGGGTGAAGCCATTACCTTAAGAAAAATAAGCATGTTGCCTTTGAGGCCTGGCTCTTGACAAAGCTTTGTTGGGATGAAAAGATAATGAAGCAAGAACCCCAAGCTGCCTCACAATTGTACCAGAAATTTGGAAAATAAATAAATTAAAGAATAGGTCCTTAAATTAAGTTCTAAAATTTTGGGAGTTCTCTTTAAGTCTGGTTCTTCTCTACGATTTGAGGCTTGGAAAGTTTAAATGGAAAACCAAGAGTGCAGACTAGCAGACTATATCTAGTTGAGGTTGAAGTTGAGGTTCTGTCATTAAATTCTGAGTGATGTGTGTGAGTGAGTGAATTGGATTAGATGTTTAAAAACAGAATTGCAAAAGAAACAAACTTTCCAAAATTTTATTGATTTTGGCCAACAGTTTTCAGGTGTGGCTGTCAGCTCATCCGAATTCCCTTTTAAATTCCTTGTACACAAGATAAAATGAAAAGTCAGCATCTAATACAGGTATAATATGGAACTCAGTTTAGAAACACCGTTTTTATTTGAAAATAAGATGTTTTTTAACATCTATAAAACCAGACCCTAATGTTAGTATGGAAGCCTTCTTCTATTTATGGTATTTCAAACTGATGTGCCCAAATAACTCACGAGCACCCCCTAATTTGGATTTACAGTAGAATGAGGTCGCTCTAACAAAAATAGACTGTTTGCATGGATAGGGATAGAATCTCACATTTGAATAAACACGGTAGTTGAGCTGATGACGCTGGAAGATCACATATATGATTCAAGATGGAGCAGAATTCTTATGGTTGTAATATTCTTGTGGTTGAATGGTTCCGTCTGCCAACATTATGACATACTGAAAAAGATAACAAGAAGAAAGGTCAATAGAAGACATTACACAAGAAACACATGCTGTTAATGGAAATGAGATAGCAAATTAAAATCAAGTATCTCTTTACCTTTCAATAAGTGAAGATCGCATTTCGGAAGTAATAGCAGCAGGTGTAGCTTCATTTAATTTGAAAACACTCTCTATAACTGAAATCTCTGTTGATGTTGTGTCAAGACCACAAAAGGCACACCAATCGTTAACAACCATACCAGCACCAACCACTTCAGATCCTCTGTTTATTGTTCCTGCCTGGAAAACAGCACATGCATTGGAGACAATTAGTTAAGGAAAGAAATCTAAATTGTGGATTAGATCAATAGATTATCTTGCTTACCACAAGAGGAACCTGCAGGAGCGATGAAAGTTCATCCTGATCTTGAATTGAGGTGCGAGGATGTACCAACCCACCTCGGTTTGAAAGGGAACAATAAGAACCTACTAAAACATTTGATGCTACTGTTTGACGGAAAACTTCAACCTGAAGTACATCAGCCAAAATCTCCTCAGTTTCCTACAAAAAATTAACGATAGTTACAAGTTCTAACATAAATCAGAAATTAATTGCTCTAGCATCAAGATTCAATGTTATACCTTGTCAAGATCAGGGTGAACAAGTGCAACATAATCATTGCAAGCAATCACATTTCCCAACGCTGAAAGCCTTTCCTCTACCCTTTGCACTTTAACTTTGTCAGGTAGAGAATTTCGGAGATGCTGAAGTTCATCATCTGTAGTTGTGTTGGGCACTAGAAGACCATTTTTGTTTCCTAAAAATCATAAACCCGTGCATAAAACAATGAAGACAGGAGTGGTTGAAAATTGAACAATTCTTCAAAACTGCTCACCAACACACATGCGCCCAATAATACGACATCCTGCGAGTGACGCATGGATCACTGGAATAGTTTCTGCCAATTCTGCTTCAAACACACTGAAATGAAAAAAGGGAAAATTAATTGTTTTGAGAGCAGAAATATTGTAGATATATAAAACTATATTCATTGCAACATTACTGAAAGGACAACTGGATATTGCACAACATTGAATATATGTTTACTTTGGCTACACAAACAAGTATACCTATAACAGCACGTCATACCTATAAAAGTTTTCTGATCCACCAATCGCCACAAGGCAATAAGAATTTGTCAACTTGGAAAACGCTCCAACTTCGTTGTTGTTCTCAAACTGCACACGAACTGCCATTGCTGATACTTCACTTAGGTTATGCTCCGTGCTATTAGCCACTGAAACAAAGTTGACAACAATCCATAAACTATTGTATTCCGTTGAGAAGCCGGAGGGAAACTTTAGGTAGCATCCCAACCAAAACTCATGAATGAGAATCACTAAATTAGAACAAACACGCACATGTACACAATCAAACACTTGCGGAGGGGACAAGTTTCACGTGGGTTTTCGACTGGCGTTGCGTGTTGCTTGCGGCTGCGGCAGGAGCGGGAACTGTCTGCTGCGAATAGGGGACAGAACGTTCTTCGTCCTCTAGACAGCTGACAGTAGACGAGGGAGATTTGAACTTAAACACTTGCTTTGCCTCATATTTGTAAGTAGTCTTTAGACAAAGCAGATCGGTATTTTGGTAAGAAATAGTTGAAATGAAGAAAAATATTTTAAATAAATGATTTGCAAGTTGTCGCGAGGTAGGAAAAG